ACACACAGAGAGAGAGAGAGAGAGAGAGAGAGAGAGAGAGAGAGAGAGAGAGAGAGAGAGAGATTTTGGGTCTGGAGCAAGGAAAGGTCATGAGGGATTAAAATTAGATATTTATCTCACAAGAGAAGCCCAAGCCCTAGTGAGACTGTTTGCATTGTAAACAAACCAAGATTAACCTTCATCACAAGGTTGGGTAAGATTCTGTTTGTAACAGAAAGCATTCCCGGAGAAGTTAGTCTCACAAAAGTTCATTCAAAGGACAGGTTTCCCTTTCTACACATGGACCCCAAGTCAGTTTCAGCTGGATTGGCCCCCTGCCTCTAGCTTCTGGATGTGTTCTAGAATATATTTGAACAGAAGCTACCCACAAAAAGGGCCTTGCCACAGGGCTGCTGGGAGGAGCAACTTGTTCCATTGCTTGAAGTGAGGTGTGTCTGCAGTTCCATGTGGGTGGGGTCCTGGGTTGCTAAGTGCACTGTTAGGAGACAGGGATGCCTGTAGTCAAGCGGAGAGGGGCCCCAGCTTGCTGAGCTTGCCTTCCTGGAAGCTGACTGCTCTCCAGGAAGGGGTGAAATCAGCAAGGCTCTACTTTCTGCTTGCTGCTAGAACCAAGTTTCATCAACTTTCTGGGGTTCCTCCTCCAGGTACCAGGACAGCAACCAGCATGATGTGTGTGTATGTGGAGTCCATATTTATACCCAATTCACAGGACCGTAGAACACATCTTCCAAAACTGAGCACACCACTGCTGGCTGAGATGACTCTTAGAGATGGGCTTAAGTGCCCGTGCCTGTTGAGCTGACTCTCCCCTTAGGCCTGCATGCCACATTTGCAGAACTAAATGAATTCTTAACACTAGCCAGAGGCTTGGCACTCTTGTCTTTCTTCTAAAAATGATGGGTTTGTTGATTTTTTAAAGCTGAATTTCAAACAAAAATCACAAGTCCTTGATCTCTGAGGCTCAGTGACTGAAACCTGCGTCCCATGGGGTCTGTGAGAGGACTCCCAATGAGAGACAGCAATCAAATTCTCCCTAACATAACTTTCTCCCATCTGCTCTGTATCTGTGTCCTCCAGGCTCTGTGAATTTAGTGTTCCGATTTTTCTTTTTCTCTTTTGTGGGGCTCAGGGGTCTTTTTGAGACAGGGTCTCCCTGTAGCCATAGCTGGCCACCCACCTCTGCTTCCCAAGTGCTGGGATTAAAGGTGTTGCTACCATGCCTAACCCAAATTTTCTTTTAATTTAATATATATATATATATATTATTTACTGTTATTTTATGTGTATGAGTGTATTGCCTGCATGTGTGTAAGTACATCTGTGTTGTGCACTTGGAGGTCAGAAGAAGGCATCAGATACCCTGGAACTGGAGTTATGGATGGTTGTTAGCCACCATGTGACGTTAGGAATTTGAACCCCAGTCCTCTGTAAGAGCAGTCAGTGCTCTTAACTGCTGAGCCACCTCTTCAGCCCCTGAGGCGTGGTTTAGAATGAGGGTATCCATAGCAGGAGTCAACATTTGGTAAAGCCACCTGCTTTCTTGAGAAATGCTCTGTCTTGCCATGGAGCAGGTCTTTCTGTTGCAATTCACAGTGCTGCAGGGGAGGGACTTTCTGAACGTCCTATAGATTACATAGATTTCCCTTTCTCTTCTTAATTCCCGTCACATTCAATATCACACGCCCTGCTGCTGTTTAGAACAGGAACAGCTAGCTTTGACAAAGATGATGGTCCTGGACCCCAAGGCTGGTGAGGAGACTGTGTCAACAGAGCAACATTCAGACACAGGAGACCAGGTTCAGTGACACAGGTCTGCTTTATTGCAGAAGGCACAAGCTTAAATATGGGTAGTGGTCCAATCACAGCACAGCAAGTAGGATACCTTATTAGCATAACAGACTTAGCTTCCTATTAGCATAACAGACTTAACATCCTATCACAGAATAGCGGGTAGAATGCCTCATTAGCATACTGGGTTTCAGATTATAGCACCTGGATTCCTGGAAACCACATGACCCTGACTGTTGCAATATCTAAGTGTTGCAATTTGGAATTCCAAGGGGGTGATTAGGGAGTGGCGAGCTCTAGGCATCAGTCTCATGATCTGCCAATGGGAGCAAATGTCACAAGGTGTTCCTTGTGGTTCCAGTGGTCATGCTGTTGCCTCGAGCCTGCTGTATGGCTGTCAATAAGACTTTCACCCTAGGCTCAAGCCTGTCTCCCACAAGGGTCCTCTAGGCTTCTTGGAAGGAGGGGGTTGGGGAGAAT